GCCCTCCAGGAAACAGCTGGGGGAGGGTGCAGCCGTTTCCAAGACGACCCCTGCAGGACTGACTTCCTTCCGGTTGGTCGCGCTTCTGGCCGTGATGTTACACCCAGGGTTTTTATATAAGTAGATATCCTATATAATAAAAGGGTAATATGTAAATTGACCCTAACAGCAGAACAACCAGAATGACCACTCGATCAGTCAATATGAGGTGCACTGACCACCTCTTGGTCCCTTTCCCCGGCCGGCAGGCTCTGATCGCCCGATGGCGAACAGGGAACCGGGGGTGGGTGGCAGCTGGGGGACAGGGTTGGCGAGTGGGTGGAACGGCAGACCTCTTGGTTCCTCCCCGCAGCCAGCAGGCTCCGATCACCCGATAGTGAATGGGGAACCGAGGGTGGGTGGCAGCAGGGGGTGGGGCCAGCTGCGGACAGCCAGGGAAGATGGCCCTGATCACAGGCCAGGCCTAGGGACCGTACCCACGCACGAATTTCGTGCACCAGGCCTCTAGTGCGTGTGTGTGTGTGTGTGTGTGTGTGTGTGTGTGTGGTGTGTGTGTGTGTGTGTGTATGTGTGTGTATATATATCATATGTTTGGCTAGGTTAAAATCTTAAATTTTTCATGTAAGCAATTCAGGTGATTTATGAAAGAGTTCCTTAGAACTTTAGACAAATAGGCAATTCCAATCTAGTTGAACGTCCTGAGCAAGGAAGAGGGGGACCGCGCCCCGACTGAAGCGCTTTACACGGTAGCACGCTCCTGGCAGCAACCCGATGGAGCAGCCACACGCACACTCACACACGGTGTGGACACATCAACACAAAACAACTGCTACAGCTCAGGCGGCAGCTGCATTTCCCAAAGCCGCTTCAGCACCTCCCAGTTCACATGCTCTCCCGCAGTCTGGCCGGCGCCCCGTCAAGAGAAGCCGACTGCTTTACCCGCTTTGAGCCCCGCCGGACTGTGCTGGCCGGTGGATTGTGGCGGGAGTAACTGTACCCAGGAGCAGCCCATCATGAGCCAGGCAGTTCCTCCTTCCCGCCGTTTGGAAGTTGGTTGCCAGGAAAGTGTGACTGTCCTGAGGCCCCCACTCATGGAAGCCCTGGAGGATGAGATGAAAACGGAAGGAGGGCCCCAGTGCCCACCAGTAGACTAGGGGATAAAAAAGCTGTGGGACATTTACACCACGGAGTACTACGCAGCTGTGAAAAAGAGGGATCTCTTACCGTCTGGACAGCATGGGTGGACCTGGGAAATACTATCCTAAGTGAAATAAGCTAATCCGAGCAGAAAAAATATCACATGATCTCACTTATCTGTGGAATCTAATGAACAAAATGAATTGACCAACCAAATAAGACCCGAAGCAGGGAGGCATGCAATAGACTGACATACCTCCATGTGGGGTGAGGGGACGAGAAGAGATAAACCAAAGAACTTAGATCCTTACTAGAGGCCCCGTGCACAAATTCGTGCACATTGAAAGGAAATTAATTAGAAGAAATATTTTAATATTGCTATTCACCCTTTCTCTGTAATAGAAGTGTCAACCAAATTCACGATCGACAATGACAGATCAAAACACACGCCTGCGATTGGCGCCAGCGAGAGCTTTATATGTACAGCACATGCATGAGTCAACTTAGCCTTTTATAGATATAGAATAAATTTGCTTAATTAGACCTGCTTTCTGATATAGCTAAACTTTTTTCAGCCCCTCGTGGTTCAAGCCTGTGGAGCACCCATTATGTGCCTGGTTCTCTTTCAGATGCAAGGGATACAGACATGAGATATACCAGCCATGCATTCCAGGTGCTTATGTTCTGCTGGGACTACAGACCATAGAGACAGAAACCTTTATTTAAAATTACTGAGTAGTTTTGGATGCCAGGTTCTATGAAAAGCATCCAGGGAGAAAGCATATAGTGTTTGACCTTAAGCAGCTCTCTGTGTTTATGTATACATTTATATATACACTAGTGTCCCAGTGCACGGATTCTTGCACATTGAAAGGAAATTAATTAGAAGAAATATTTTAATATCGCTATTCGCGTCTTGCTAATGAAAAGAAAATAGGATTCTACTGAGTCTCCTATCTACCTACTCTAGGACTTCTGTGGGGATCAAATGAGATGAGGCACGGGAAAACGCTTCACAAACATTTGGTTAAACTTTAAAATGTTTGCAACTGGCTATAAAGCAAGTTGGGTTCCTGAGCTGAAGAAATTCCAAGGATGCTAGTCACTAGGGATAGGAAGCCGTGTGTTGCTACGTGATATCATTACCCAGTGCCCACAGAGACCATTTCTGGGCTGGGCTGGGCTGTGGGCAGCATTTTGCACCATGGGTTCTTGGCAGCGTTGGCTGAGATTTGGTGGGGTGTTGCTCCGGGATGGTGGCGGGGCCTGTGTCCCACTTGGGGGAAGCCGAGTGTTGCTTTGTGGGTGCCAGGTCCACGGTGCCATTTCTCTGTGCGTGTCACAGCAGCTCCTGTGTTAAGCGCCTGCCATCTGGTGGTCAGTGCACGTCATAGTGACTGGTTGGATGGTTGGACACTTAGCATATTAGCCTTTTATATATATAGATTATATATATAGATATGCACAGCCCATGGATATGGGCAACAGGGTAGTGAAGATCTGGTGGGGACTAGATTGGGACTGAAAGGAGGGGATTAAGGGGCGGTGGGTAAACGAAAGACATCTGTAATACTATCAACAATAAAAAATATTTTTTTTAAAAAAAAGAAGGAGACCTAATCGGTTTGGCTCAGTGGATAGAGTGTCGGCCTGGGGACTAAAGGATCCCGGGTTCGATTCTGGTCAAGGGCATGTACCTTGGTTGCAGGCACATTCCCAGTGGGGGGTGTGCAGGAGGCAGCTGAT